AAACACCCGGTAATAACGAGGTTACAATTAAACGAAAGAAATGAGACCAAAATAACCAAGAAATAATATACATTACTCACATCATAGTACGGTATAAATCTCCAGATTATAGGCGTGGTTTCAACCCTACGAATGAAAGAAAACTTTGTTGAACGCCGTGCAAACGCCAATAATGGCGGACGGTGCCGCTAAAAGATCGTCGCCTTTTCACAGAATGTGTTCTCGCTGTTAGTTACGTATTAAACAATATTGCATGTAAACAATATATGACACCGACAATTAAGGACTTTAATACATCAACGAATCATAATGAAATAATATATAAAGTTTACGATATACGAAACAAAATTACCAATAAAATAACGCGGCGCTTGCGTCGTTATTCCCGCCGGGTTACAGCCATATCATCGAACCACAAACCTATGAAAATCTGACCATACCATAAAACGTCCATTTTAGAAGATATTAGAGTAATCGCAAGATAAATAACACAACTACTTTTTGTTTAAAAAATGTTTTTTTTTTTTTGCAACATTAAGATAGCTACATTCCAATTATATTGTATACCATTTACGAAAATAAATATAAAAATTATTAAATATTCAATATTGAGTCGTTTCAAGACCATGAAATAATCATAGGTTTTTAAATATGGATTTAAAAAGTAACTTGAGTCATGTTTTACATATTTTACAGGTTTTAAAAATATACATGAAAAGTATTTATTTCAGAGTTAATAAATTATGCATAATAAAACAGAAAGAATAAAAACTTGTTAATGTTAATTGTTGTCAATGTTTTTTAAGAACTATTTTACCTAGAAATAACTTTTGTATCCATGTATAAATTTCTATCAACATTCACAAATTGATAAGGTTATTTATAATCTCCTTTATGAACACTTATTATACGCCGCGCTTTTCAAATCTGTTCCTTGATAAGACTCGATAGTTAATATTCTTACCTCAGAAGTATAAATTATATCAGTTTAATAGAGAACTAAATCAAAGATCTTCTAATACAATTAGAGTACAATTAGCTTGTATTTCATAAGTTTTATTTTTATAGATTGCTGCAGCGATACGTAAGTACTGAAATGTATATGTACAGCCGACCGCATAAGTGTTCGTCCACCTATCGCAGTGGGTGTATGTATAAAGAAAAGAAAGTAAAGGTACAAGTAAAATTTAAATAAAAAACACAGCAATTAATCTTTATTAATACAAAACAAGCTAACATTTTGTGAATTTCGTAGTTACTCTACATAATGAAAAATTAAACAAAATATTATAACGTATCGGAAAATTTGAACACAGAAGTATCAGTCCATCAATGTTTATGTTAGATAAAATGCATGCAAACGAACATAACAAAATATAAAATAACTGAATGATATTACAAGTGAATGTGATACGGTCTATTGTATTTTATTAACTTCTAACAGTTCGCTTCAGACAGTCAGAAAGAAAGTATCCAAAATGATGCATAAGAAAAGTGAAACATCTTTATCCGAACGAGAAGTTATTGTAAAATTATGAAAAGCAGAAAAATCCAAAAAAGAAATTGCAGATATAATGGGAAAACCATGAACTACCATACAATATAAATTAAAAAAGTTTAAAGAAGGCAAAACTATTATAAATAAATCGCAACCAGGAAGAACAAAACTACTGACTAATTGTGATGAGACACATATTGAAAGCTGTCAAGCAGGATCCTCATATCTCCACATCTGAAATACGCGAGAAGATACTGTCTCTGTCAGGAAAAATAGTAAGTCTTGATACAGTTCGACGTGTATTTCATAGAACCAATTTAAAGAAGCCATTAATTAACGCAGTAAATCGAAAGAGATGATTTTTGGAAACGCATCATTTTTACCGATGAATCGAAATTTTTGGTGCATCCAACAAAAAAGGTTGAAGGGAAGCAAATGCAGAATATCAAAACGAAAATTTGATACCAACCGTGAAGCACAGAGGATCGTCACTTATGGCATGGGGTTGTATGTGAACGACTAGAGTTAGTGATTATCACATTATAGATGATATGACGGATCAGTGGATGTATTTAAATATATTAAAGCAGCATCTACTACCAAGTGATAAGAAGCTAGGAATAAAGAGTAATTTTATGTTTCAACAAGATAACGATCCAAAGCATAAAGCCAGAATCGTCAGAGAATGGATGTTATATAATATACCACATTACTTACAAACACCACCCCAGTCGTCAGATATAAATCCTATTGAGCACTTGTGGATAGAAATAAAAAGAAATGTTCGTAAATCATCGCCCAAAATACGCGAAAAATTAAAGCAACATTTATACAAGAATAGGACAAAAAATACCATCAGATTTTACAACCAAATTAGTGAAATCAAGCATCTAAAAGCTATAATTAGGTTTAAGGGGTATTTCACTAAATATTGAACTAATAACATCAGTTTTATGTGATAATAACTCAATTAATTTGTAAGTGGACGAATACTTTTGCGTTCAAATTTTCCGATGCATTATGTTATTTTCTTTAATTTTTCACTATGTACAGCAATTATGAATTTCACAAAATGTCAGCTTATCTTATATAAATAAAGGTTAATTTCTATATTTTTTATTTAAATTTTACGTGTATCTTTCCTTCTTTTCCCTATACATACGCCGAATGCACTACGTGGACGAACACTTATGCGGCCGACTGTATGTACAAGTACACCGAATTATAAACACTAAACATTCGACACACCTTACACATAATCCCCTAAAGCAATCCATTTTAACGTTATACCAGTCCTTTGTTTACTTTTATTTGCTTTTTTAAGTGCTCTTTATGTAAAAGCTACATAATCGAAATGGAATATGGAATATGGAAAAACATATGTTTCCTTATTTTGGCACAGCTCATTGTAAAGAAAAACAAAAATATATATAATTCGAAAACAAACAGGAAAGAGTAACGCGTTTTATCAGTAGCGCCAACATTGGAAGAAATATTTCTAATTGTTATGTATCCACTGTTCTTTTACCAAGGATATCAGATATTCATCAAGGAAATGTCCCGTTAGTTTGGAAATATTCGATGTTTGATAAGCCCTTTAGCTGAACGATATGTGCTATTTAACAATAATAATTCGATTATCAATTTGTCGCAAGGTAACTGGGCACGCAATATTTCACGATTACCTTACGCATATACGGTTCGCAGTTATTCATTAAGCCTGCATAATTGATAATATTGGTCTCGCATACAAATACATAATACAGAAATCGACATGCAATTTTTTTAGAAGCGGGGTATATTACAAACTTAATAATAGCAGTAGATATACCAATAAATTTATGCAATGTATATGTTACAAAATTGTATTCCCCTTTTTTTGATAACAAAGTCCGTTATTCGTGTTTATCTTTTTCTGTTTTTTTTTTGTTTTTTTTTTCTTTCATTATCGAGTGAATCATTCATCACTGTAAACATTTGTAACACGCTGGTCTGTCATTTGTTTTCACGCCTAAAAATTCTAAATATTCTCTTGATATACATCCATTCGTTCATCCATCCACTTTCTTTTGACATTCACACAGTTCTCTTTCGTATATCCTTTTTAACTATTCTTCTTTTTTTACTTTGTAAAAATTAATTGATCATATTAGTGGTCACATCGATAAAATCATCATTTATAACAAACAAATGAAATCATTATAAAGTCTTATATTTTTTTATTATTTACGTATAAATATTGTTAAATATGTATATTAAAAATTTGCTACACATTTCATTTTACACGATTATTTTAAACAGAATTTGTTATTCTATCCTGATAATGACTTAAATCGATTAAGTAACTTTTTGTTAACTGGACACGAACTCTTCTTGCACCAATGAAGATAGGAGACTATACTAGCAGGTTCGATTTTTATCCCGTTTATACGGTTGCTCTACTTTCGTTTGCATTGTTACAAAACGAAGAAAGAACGCGGCTGTGGGTTAGAATCGAGCCTAAAAATGCACGCAAGAATAATCCCTATATTCTTTGTTACTTTTCTAACTGTGTATTTTGATAAGTAAAGAAGAGAAAAACGAAAGGAACGAAAATTAATTGATGCTGCGTTTCTAGAATTGAGTCACGACGTCACGGTATAAAAATCTAAACTGACTTTATACTGCGTACTAAAAAATATAATTGTGTACACTGCTAGGCGAGACAAAACTCGATTAGTTAGCAGCTGTTTTCGCTTAGCGATTATCACTAAGCGTTCGGAATTACTTTCGTTGACGCTTTCGTGACTCGATTACTTTGATCGTCAATCGGTCCGAACGCTTCTCTTTTTCTCGAATAAACAAACACGTTTTATTCCGTGTACATGTCGAATCGAATGCTCCCCCTTTAAACAACGACTAAATCAAAAAGTTTTGCTAATAACGTGACACAACAGTCTTATGTTAACGGTAGACTCGGCGATGAACTCAACTTTTTTTATCGATTTGTCGTTCTTCTGAGTTCAACGCAAAATAAGAAATCTAATGCATTTTCTGTTGTTAGTAAATCACAATAAAAATTATTAAACACCGATACTCATTTTTTCCTGAATTTTTGTCTATCGACTATCATTACTCCACTGAATACATTTTAGCATACCATCGTCTATGATACGCATTGTACACTGCGAGTATCACTAATAACATAGATGAACGATGACTGCATTTGACGTCCTTGTTCCCGTGGGAAAATAATTGGCCTCGCTCCACTTATTCCAAGTACGACGGATGTGGAGCACGGTAAATGTGAATCAACATTTGGGCCGGAAGAACTTTATAATATTCCGACCGGATTAATATCATTTGACGTAGACTGTTTAGCTGCTTCAAACACGAAGATTCAGACGGATATCTCATAAGCGTCATACGTTCTTTCCTCTTTGGAACAGGAGACGCGTAATGACGGCAATTCTTGTACAATCTCCGTCCAGCCGCAGGATGGTGCGGAGACCGTAAAGGTGGGCTATACAGATATTTCATAGTTCATATCATAGACACTAGCGCGATCCGGTGTCGGCGTCGTGGGTCGTTGTGATCTGTTATCGTTAGGCGCTGACACCATCTCCATAGAATCCGTCATTTCCAAAGCTCTAACAAAGGACATTGGCCTGCACGATTGGTGTGGTGGGAAGACCGGTACTCCACCTCTCATCGCAGGATGATAGACCGCTCTTGGAGCATTGGCATATAACTGTTGAGTAGGACTCGTTGGATTAGAGCGGTAATAATCATACGGCGGTGGAGGTCTTTGCGAAGGTGACTGATGTGTTGTTGCACTTGCTGTTCCAGTTGGAGCAGGATAGCTGCCAGGAGAATTATCTTTCCACAAATAGACACCACATTGAGGTGAACCCGCTAATTCTCGGATATTGTCGACAGTATTGTTAGTTCTTGAGTACGAATGATCAGTACCTTGGCGAACGAGCTCACTTTCTGACAAGAAACGCCGTTGCGGACTGTAACCAGTTACGACGGTACCACTTGTAGCACCAACACCGGTATTATTTCCTTGCTGTACATCATAATAAGTCGGTGCGTCGTTTACTCCTATAAAATCTGGCCGACGAACCTGCGTCGGCGTACCTGGATTTGATCTATAACAGAGATAGAAAATTTTGACCTCTGTGCTTCTAAGTCACACATAAGATAATTGAATAATTGACAAATGCACAATAATACAGTGAACCAAGATGAATATGCGAGTGCTGAGCATTGTAGCCATACAAATACGGCTCTGGCGAGACATATAGGAGAGAGAGAACAGCGCATCATTCCTGTTATAAACATTAGCATCTATTCAAGAAAAAGTAAAAAGGCAGCGAACCTAAGATATACATATGTGAACATTTACTTGCGTGTTGACTGATACATGTGTATAGATATGTATATGTACAAAGTGTCCCACCAAATCTGTTTATTTCAAAAATCTTTATTATTTTAGACAACAAGTGAAAATATCATTTACAAAATTTGTATAACTATGTGAAAAATATAATATGATAACAATAGATGTTTTCAGATAAAGACTACAGATGTAGAAGTCAATTCTTCAGTTTTTACTTGAAAAGACCAACTCATCAAATTATATCTGTCTTATAACCACACGATTTTTGTAAATAATATTTTCACTGGTCATATGAAATAGTTATAGATATTTGAAATGGACAGAATTAGTGAAACGCCCAGTATATTTCAACAGAAATATGCATTTTTCTTTATATATATAAATATAATAATCATAATAATATTTATATGTATGTGTATATGTATATAAATATAGATACATATATAAATATATATATATACATATATATATATATAGATATATGTATGGAACATATGCAAGAAAGCATAACTTTAAACTACGATATGTTGTCGTAGGATGAAGTTCGTGTTTACCTGCAGTAGGTTGCAACAATGATGGTAGAAAGCAGCTTGCAGTTACCACCCTCTGCAGTGGGACACAAACTTATCTATATACCATATATCTTGTAATCTGTACATGCAGAGAAACTAATTCTCTACGATATTATTGTGATCTACATCGCACAACGTTTCTTTTTTGTCACGTTCCTTCGTCATTCAGAAGGTGAGAATACTGGTGAGAGAATAAAGGAAGAAAGAATAAGAGCAAGAGTGAGGTGTTCATAGTGGGGGATAGACAATTTAAAGTAAACAGGCTTCACATCATATTAAGAGGTACCAAACAGGACATTAAAAAAGGAATCTGCTCAATTTATATTGGTAGCGTGCTCACGAAATGCAATGTAAACTATGACTAAATGTGGCGCTTCCCTCTTGCTCTCTACGAGATAAGTTTTTGTGCAATGTGAAAACGCCGCGGCGTACAATTATAAAAATAAAAAGAAAAATATACATCTAAAAGTTAAATATTCCAAAAATACTTTATGTGTGTCCACGGAATAGAACAAATATTTAATTATCTCTATATCATAAAAGATTATATCATACAATATATACTTGCAGATATCTTTTTTTCTTTCGAAATATATTTAATTTGAATTTGTAGTTGTTCTATTTTTGTTCCAAAAGCAACAGATAAGCATAGTATACCTGCGAATAGGGCTGGAAATAGCAAGTGGAGTTGGTACTCCAATAGCTTTAATCCGTTGCGTTGTTGGACTAGCACCTCCTTGACCTTGATCTGTTTGAGAAGCTGTGGCAGGTGATCCACTTGCTTCTGGCGATAATGGATCCGGCGTATGACTTCGAGAGCCATTCATTCCCCTATAGGTATTGACAACGTACCTTACGTATATTAGAAAAACAATTAGCAAACGAAATATCATTTGCTGCAATTTTTTGTCTTACCTTGGCCTTGGATGAGGGCTGCCTCTAGTATGATGCATTGGGTGGCGATGTTGTGATGGTGGAGGGTGCCTGGGAGATTCACTGTTCTCCACAGGTGGCAGGAAGAAATTGCTTTTGGAACCATGTCTTTGTACTGGAGGTGTAGGTTCGCAATCCGCGGACTGAGACGCAGTAGGTTCCATGTCTGTATCCGATCCATCTCGTCCAGGAGACAACTAGAAACAATAATTCAAATTGATGCTGCTTTTATTATAGTAAAAAATTAATATTCAGTTCTAAATTATTATAGCACGCTTTTGTACATTAATAACGCACATTTTTTTAGGAATACTGATGTTCAACCAGGATGGGTAAGGAACAGGGAACTGAACAGAAAGTAATTGCATCTTTCCAATGTTGTAAATAAGGTATTACTCAGAGGAAGAATCGTTGCTTGAAATTGTACACTAAAGAAAAAAACTCGAAATTAATAAACAAAAGGTTGTAAAACTTCAAAAATCATGCAATATTTCATTAAACATGTGAGGTATGCACTACTTTTGCGATTTACAATATACAATTTATTGAAGCTTTGAAGTGCGAAGAAGAATAGTATAGCATCAACTTGAAACTTTCTAAAGCAAAGTGAATTACATATCTACAATAAAACTACATACAATTACTATGTTAAACACCAAAAAAGCTGTAAAGTTGCATGCTAGAAAGGAAGAGCTATTTACAGTTGTAAAATCTTCTTGTATGTAGTATCAGAAGTATCAAGCGAAGTTGCACTAGCTCTTACCTTATTGTAAGCATTTGAACTGGCATTTCTAACACCATTGCTGCTATCCATGTAGGTTTTTACCTGGTTCTCACTGCCTATAGTCGATATCTCAGATGTAGAAACTCCACGCCGTTTTCCTGAATACTTTTCAGGCTTAATCAAGCTGAAATATTACACATTTGTGATTATTTACTCATTCCATTCAATATTTTATATCATAATGAACTAACACATTACCTGGGGTATTGTGGTCCAAATTGCGTATAACAGCAATTGTGTAAGCAACCATGAGAAAAAGGATTGTAGCCTCCATTAAATTTACCTGTTACCTGTTCATTTGTTGTACGCCCTCTTGAAACAAGTACTACGTGAAAACCAGTTAGTCCAAAAATTGGAATGGACAAAAGTATAACCACTCCCATGAGTACAAGTCTATTTTAAATTTAAGGATTATAAAGTGTAAAATCATGTATTCCAGTAAGAATATTTATCACTTACAATTATTATTAAATAAATTGCAGCATCTTATGAGATTGCAATTATTAATTCAGAGAAAAAGGATACGCAACAATAGTGTCCACTTCACCCAACTGTTGCTTACGTTCCCATACAAAATATAAGCAAAGTCCAAATATACTGAGCATATGAAAACTAAGTGACAGAAGAAAGAAAAAGAAGAATCTATAATTCCTTCTACCAATACAGTTGTTTACCCATGGGCAATGATGATCAAATGTCTAAAAGTACAAAAAAAGTATTAATCTTTTATTGAATAAAGAAATCATTTAAACTGTATTTAATACATACCTCAATACAATGATTGCAGACACTGCAATGTGAACAACGTGGAGGTCTATAGAACTTGCATGTTACACACCATTTCACACGAACTGTAATACCATTGATTTCTACATTTTTGTATAATGGAGCATGTATATCATCTTCTCTATCTTCATCAGGAGGTGCTTTAAAAAAAATTATTCTTTTTTAAAAAACTATATTTCACAAGTCTTTTTGATAATACTTTGATTTATAGATAAACATACCTTTTGGAATAACACCTGGATCCATGAATGTTGCTAGTGTGAAATTTGCCAAAACAAAAAAGGTGATGACTCCTTGAAGAGCAGGTAACCATGTTCCCCATCGAAACACATAATACTGACACCTAGAAGATCCAAGCAATGCATGATAAACACACATCTTAACAAATTGACACACTCTCAAAATGAAAACAGGAGCGCAAACACTACGGTCACTCACGAGAAGACAGACATGTGTGCGGAACTTACGGAAAACAGAAGAAGAGTGTCGTAGTGCTGAGTAGGGTTGTCCAGGCAAACGTAGCTGGTAGATACCTTGTCTTCACATCGCATTTCGGCATTCTGTACACTCCACTTCGTAGTCGACGATTAACGAATTATTAATGGGTAAGATTTCTGCTATCAGAAAACATGGCCGCGTCCATCGGCGCTGCTTATTTGCAAGTTATGTGATCCGTATTTAGCACGGATTTCCATTCCCACTATGCCTGTACATCCGTGGCATCTCGATAATCGTCCCGTCTATTACGCCCGCGTCACTCCAGCAAAAACATCCGTAATGTGATTAATATTTAAGCGCTTCTGCATACACGATCCGCGAACACACTACCTTGCTGACATACATATATATAACGTATATATATTGTGCACGGACAGTGAGCCGTGCCCCCTCTAACATGAGCGTTCCACAATGCGATCCACTGAGACCTTGCGGTTTACTTTCAAGATTTTCCGTTTTTCTAGAATCGCACACACAGCTTAACATTGCTTAACGTCGTTGCATGCGATACTTCCAAAACCTTGCAATTTCGAATTTCTCATTTATCGACAGGAAATGTTAATTCCTTTTGTAAAAAACTTCCTTACCGACGATCCATATTCATTGAACAGTTCAAATTTTTTAAAGCTATTCATTTTCTTATTTTTCAGACATATATGTTATTTATGTTGTAATAATTTCTTGTCTTAAAATATTTCTTGTTATAAAGTAACTGAATGTATTATTTTAATTACGTTATCTATATCTTTCATGAATTATAATGTATAGATAAAATTTATGTAACCACAAAAAATGTTAGACACAGAAAAGAATGTATTAAATAATCGGATCACAGTTTTTTATCATCTCTTATAAAAACATCAAAGTGAGAATTAGTTTAAATTTCATTATAATGAATAAAAAACTGTTATAGAAAGAACGTTGCGACCGCACTATATTAGGAAGTATGGCAGGAAGCCAACCAGGTGACAAACTACAAACTAGAAAGATGAATCCCATCGATACAAATCAACTAAAATTAAGGATAAGATATTTCGTATATTTGATACATTTGATACAGATGTTTTCACGATTTATATCGACTCAACTTAATCGAACAATGAAGGATGCCATATTCGCGTATTAAATATTCACAGCTAAATTCATGGCTTTTAGATTGAAATACATTCTATTACTAACGATGCTTTACCACCCACGTCGAGCATTTGAGAATTAGAACAGAATTATGCCACATACCAGAAATCTTTGTTATATAAACAGCTATTATTCAAATTTACTACGCAGTAACAACCTTTTTCTTTTTTACAATAAATATGGAATTACAAATAAATTTACATTTTTTGTGATTTATGTTATTTTATTTAACGTAATTTTCAGGACCTTTGGTGATGGGATATATTTCAACGTTTCTTACAATCCATTTCTTCAATTATTTATTAATTCTATCATTTTGTGTTATTAATTTAAAAAGAAACGTAAACTCAAATAGTCTGTCGTAAATTCTGTTTAAAAATATCTTAATTGGATAATTTTTAAACGTGTTTCATTGCTTTATAGGATTTTTAAAAAATATTGTTTTCTTAAATTCAGTGTCTGTCATATCAAATAATTTATTATCTTCATTGCTCTCGTGATCTCTATTTATCGCAACGTGTCTTTAGAAGTCAAGAACAACAAAAGTTATCCCCAGTTGAGGACTAAGCGGTCTACAATGACAGTCCAATGTAGGTATATTGAAACTTTTACATAACAATTTCAAGTACCGCTTGTCTGTGTGCCATGGGTAAAAATGGAAGAGATGTTATTATTAGAGAAAATGATTTTTCTAGGAGTTAATTTCGAGGTGCTGGATCACCGAAGGCGGCATCCGCATGCCTCTCTAACGAGTCGGCTTTCGAACACGGCCCCTTGCCAAGAGGACGATGATTTTCAGAACTTGGCAACGGAACGTAATTGCTTTTGCACGCTCGAAACTCCGTTGTCACTCCTCGCTGAGCATTGATGAGAGCAGCGCGTGGTGAACATCACCTACGGCGACGACTACGACAACCACGACGATGATGATCGTGATGATGATGTGCTAGCACCGAAAATATTTCTAATGAGACAAATTTACGTATAACATATCTGTTGGCCGATCTTCATACGCACTCCCGTCATTTGGAAATGAGCACCAACTGAATGAAAACGGAACGAGTAAAACATTTTACATTCCACTGACATCCAAAGCGAAAATCTTGTATACACACGTCTATTGCGACTGATTGATCACTTCGTATTATTTATAGCCACGGACTTATCCTTCGAGGATAGTAACTTCTCACAAGGATGTCTCGTCTCTCTTGGTTTTAAAGTATTGCTCGTGTCAATTTTAACTTTTTGCTGCTACAGTAAAATGATTATTACGTAACCACGACAATTTGTCAGCATAAATCAGAAACTAGATTTCACGCTTTAGGACGTCTGTAATTTAATCAAATGTAGGTAGTTCTATTAACTATGCTGTACATTGAATTGATTTCAGTTTACTAACTATGGATCAGAAAGTCAAACGAACTCGAAGAATAACCATGTTATAAAACATGTGATAGAAAATATAGATGATAATACTCAAATATTAAAATGCATCAAATTTGTTCATTACTAACATCGTCACTGATATTGTGATACGATTTGTCTAAACAAAGTTAGTATAGCTAATACAGTACAATCTTAGAATGTTCATGGAATCAAGCAAGGTAATAAACGCAGAATAGCAGTTTTTACCCAATAATTTCTATCCGTGTTCATGAAAAATAGCCCCCAATCTATTTTCTCAAGTTTGGAAAATGCTCGAGAATCGCTGATGAATCGTCTTGAAAGAGTCCGAGGACTCGTTATATTTTCGCCGTACAGCAAGCTAGATAGAAGGTGGTGTTGTAATGGTTTGCAAAGCGTGGGCAGCCGGATCTAAGAACAGCGATGTGTCTGAAAATTGCATGTAGATTCACATTTGTTATCGCGCAAGAATTATAACCATTTGCGCGAAGATAGATATTAGGAGGGACACATTTTTGTAATCACTGTTCTATAGCACTGAATTGTAACCACGATAACGAAATCATTACTGGGTAAAGTATGAAATGTTGATACATTTGCCAAGATAAATAACTTTTTTACTCTTAAGCGTTTCATGAATGAAAATGTACTTTCAGGATTTGTATTTTACCTTCTACTAGATTTCCGTTCAACTGAAAATCTAAAACATAATCTCGATTATGTTGTGCCGAATGAAGATAATCTATGATCCAGTAATACAGCAGCCACCGCGATTCGATGATACATAATTCAAGAATAAAAGTGTACAGGTGACCAGCGTACATTTAAATGCAATCTTATATGATTTAGCTTTGACCTTCCGACATCACGGAGGATCCACTTATAACATATTTCATTTTTCGTCGCGTCGCTCTATTTTTGCGCCCACCAGTTTTCTAGCTGGTTTACCAGATGCTGAGGATGTCTTTATACCGGGACGAAAAAGCCGCCACACTTCAGGTACTCATCGTCCGTCGTGCAAGATATCAGTCATCATGGTAAGAATCGCGTCATAAACGTTCATCCTCATCATCGTCGATTTCTAACTCATCAGATCAACGTTTTATCGATATGCGACATTAGTGATATTATTTTGTAAAAGTGCAAAAAAGACATTCGCGTGTTTATTTAAAAAAATTAATGTGGGAAGAAGAAGTTGCGAATGATCATGGATAAATTTTCTTTGTAAAAAGAATGTGATACAAGTAGGATTATCTTTTTGCAGGAGGAAGACGAGCAAAAAATGGCTGTAATGCGAAAGGCATTCCAAATGTTCGATACGACGAAAAGTGGATTTATTGATACTTTGAAAATTTCAACGATATTAAACACAATGGGTCAATTGTTCGATGATGCTGATTTGAACGCTATAATCGCGGAGAATGATCCGGAAGGATCTGGTAAAGTGAACTTTGACGGATTCTGCAGAATTGCTGGGCGATTTTTGGAAGAAGAAGATGCTGAGGCAATGCAAGAAGAATTAAAAGAGGCTTTCCGTTTATACGATCGCGAAGGAAATGGATATATCACGACGGCTACATTAAAAGAAATTCTTGCTGCTCTCGATGACAAACTTACTAGTGCAGACTTAGATGGTATAATTGCTGAGATTGATACCGATGGATCGGGAACTGTTGACTTTGATGGTATGTATTTACAATTATTTTCTTCATTTTAGCTGTAAATTATTATTGTACATAAGTGTTAATACGATCTTGAGTATAATGAAACGTAATAAGTTCTCATGTTTATACTTTTAGAATTCATGGAGATGATGACTGGAGAATAATGCTTTGAAGCAACTGACAAAGCGATGTTGAAGACAGTACACTTAAAATATTGTTTTAATATTTTTGTTGACGCTAGAATCGTGAAATTTGTTTAATAAAAACGATAATATAAATGTTTTACTTCTCGATTATTTAGAAGCCTTTTTAACTTAAACTTATATGTTAAAGAAGTAAACGATTATATCTGCATGACGTGAATAAGGTGCAAATGAAAAAATCTGGATTTTATAATAAACATTTGCTCTTGACAGCAATTTATTCATTATAATTGATACATCAACAAATTTTTTCTTTAATTATTAACATTAACAACATCTCGTGCGTGTTTAGTCGTATAAACCATTTTTATACGGCTTTTAACAATACCGTGCACTTCACCGTAGGAACATTTACTGGGTGATGTCGTTGGTGGGTTGTCCTTGGTGGAAAACAAGAACATCCTTCACGAAAATGTTGGGAACGCTAAGAGCACCAGGAGTTAGAGGTCTATCTAATGGGAAGCCGAGGGGTTTGCCGTCAAGGGAGATGGCTCCACCAATGACTTCAGAGATTGGCTTATCTTGGTAGTATTGGCTAACAGTCGAGTCTTGAACAGTTTGTGGCTGTGCATAGATACCCTGGAAGCCACCTGCGTGTTGTTGTCCGCTAGCGACGATATTAGTTCCGGATATTGAACCTTGAACTGGAGAACGTTGCCAGGATTGACTACCAATACCTTGAGCTCCTTGCATGCCATATGGAACATTTACTCCCTGAACATCTTGTCCAATAGACCATGATTGTGGTACTCCTTGTAAAACACCTGATAGAGATTGTACTCCACCTTGAATTCCTTGAAGACCTTGAACACCTTGTTGGACACCTTGTTGAACACCTTGAACACCTTGAACACCTTGGACACCTTGGACGCCTTGCACGCCTTGAAGACCTTGGAAACCTTGTTGAACACCTTGAGCACCTGATTGAACACCCTGAGCATCTTCAACTATTTGTACACCTTCAACGCCTTGCGGGCCTTGTAGAATCTGTAATCGTTTCAGACTGCCTTGTTGTCCTGATTGGCCGATGTGAGATTGCGGCCATTTAATATGTTGTCCGTGGTGTTGTTGTTGTTGTTGTCCATAGATCATTTGTGCAGCTTTACTCTGCTGTCCCTGTTGTCCTTGTTGTCCTTGTTGTCCTTGCTGGCCTTGTTGTCCTTGCTGACCTTGTTGTCCTTGCTGGCCTTGTTGTCCTTGTTGTCCTTGTTGTCCTTGTTGTCCTTGTGCTGCTGCTACTGCTGCCTGAATTTGTTGTTGAATCCATTGGGCTTGCTGTACTTGCTGTTGATTTTGTTGGTTTGAGATGCCTGATCCTTGTAATCTTAATGATTGTCCAGATACTCCGCCGTTAACAACTGCAACTCCTTGAATGGTATATGTCATATCTTGTCCTTGACCAACAGGGTTTTGAATTTGCGTATTCGGGTATTGTCCGTGATATTTAGTATAAACCTTGGCATAGTGATTCCTGACAGCTGTAAAGAAGAAATGACGTATATGGTCAGTGACATTATGCAATGAATGCCAAGCTCTCTTTATCAGTGATAATGCACCTGGAATTTGTTGCTGAGCATTAACCAAGTTTTTAGGTAGGACTTCTACGTTTTGCTGAATTCCACCTTCTACATTCACAAGTTGATTCTGTTCTTTCAGTTGTTCGTATTGTTGAGCATTTACAATTTGATATTGCTGGGCTTGATAGGTCAGAGATTGTTCAGGGATCACTGGCCCATTTGGAACATTAAGTGGGTTTGATCCTGAGATTACAACGAGGAGCTGAAGTGGGAAACCTTGTTGCTGACCTTTGGGAAGAGACAGCCTAGCAGGGAAGCTGAAGATTTGGTGTGGCTATAAAAATACAATTAATTTTTTAATTAATAATAATCTTCGATCTTCTGTTTCAGACATCTTGATAGAGACAATTTATTAACCTCAGTGATGAAGAATGGTTCCTGGGATCGGATAGCAGCATTGACACCTTGTTGAATTTGTGAAGTAGATGGCCAGTCAGCACTCTGTCCAGGAGCCTGCTGGGAGTTCCTAATAATGATGTTCTGGCCAGAATGGACTAAACACAGAATATATTAATTATTACCAACAAATTAGTTATAAATAAATAATTCAGAAGTTAGAAAAAAATGGAAATTTACGATTCTGGATGAACTGGTCAAGTTCAACAAAGAGGTGTTGGCTCTGGGAGATGCTAATGGGTTTGCCTTGGTAATCATGTTTAGGTCCGAGATAGACACGAACAACTACGTTCGGCATATTTTGTTCACTGTGAACCGTGATTGTGTATTGGTATGGTTGATGGTCCAATCTCTTGAGGTAAGCCGCAACTTGTTGTTGAACATGATCCTGTTGTTGATTCTGTTGTTGCGCGCTGGATTGACCAGTGACGGCATCAAGATCGATATAGTTATTGGTGAAGAGAGTAACAAGTTGGCCAACATCAACATTCTGAATCGAAACACCAGGTAGGATAAGATCATTGTACTGGTAAGCAGGCAAAGACTGTTGGTATTGTTGGTACAGGTTCATAACATTTTTGTATAATTGATAGAATGCTGGATCGTGAACAGCAGTTTCTCCAAGCTCAAGTGCCGATGGTGTGTAATCCCAAATGTTCTGAACTTCAGGAGCATTACCAAGAAGTTTCCGAGCAGCAGCTTGAAGACTTCCATAGTACCTATTTGAAGTAAAAAACGAGTAGTAAAAACATAGTTGTGCAATTTTGAACTATGTTTATTGAAAGCAAACTGACCTTGGGTTAACACTTCTGCCAGATCCTTCAATTAGGTTACCAAGGATGTTCATGCCCTGTGGTTGGTATAAAGAAAGCAAGATACCTTGTGGGGTAATGACATTACCAGAATCAATAGCATCTACCAGTCTTTGTACTAGAGTTCTAACATGTTGAATGAGTTGTTGGTTATTTTGAGATTCGAGTTGAAGATTCTCGGGGCGGCCTGCAAATTCAAGTCCATTGAGGCTACGAAGATGTGGTTGGTACAAAGCTTGAACATTGTTGAAATCAATATCTGGGATTGGGCCAAGTCCGTTCGAAAGGCGATTAAGTTCGTAATGTGCCAAAAGTTGTTGATGGAGGTATAAATATTGGGCTCCATGACCAATAGGGTTTTGCTGGTCCTGTTGTCCTGCTTGTTGCAAGTATTTTCCAACAATTTGTTGTTGATACTGCTTTTGGGTCAATGGTTGTTGTTGCTCTTGTTGTTGTTGATTCTGTTAAAAACGTATGTTAATTATATTGATTTTTAACTTTTTTAGATATTATAGAAAAATGAAGTTTTAAGATATTTACATCGTCCAAAACGTATCCAGCAAGGTTAACATAAGAATAATATGCAGCAAGACCAACATCTTGGGTAAAGTAAGATAGCTGTTGTTCATCATGAGACAAAAGTGCAGAATAGTTGACAGGAATGAGAATGTCTTGCGTGTTTCCACTCTGAATTCCTTGAATTGCAATATTTTGAGCTTCATCTATGATTCTAGCATCCAAGTGATGTTGGGGCAAGATTTCATAAACTGGCGGTAGAATGACACCTTGGGTATCTGGACGAGTCAACACAGCAGCAGCTAAAGCCTGTTGAGCAAATAGGAAAATAGTTGAATAGAATACATGTATAAAATAGATGGAATGTAAAATATTTTTCATTCAGTCTAATGCATTAATGTTAATATAATTTTTATACCTTAACAAATTGTCCCTCATTAACATGAACACGGGCCCATGCAGCAGTTTTGAGGAAGGTCTGATAGTCTTTAGCACCCAATAAGATCCTATAAAGAAGAGAGGCTTCTTTGCGAAGCTGGCTGATCGAGTTACTATAGACAGTACCCTGTGGTTGAACCAGGCCAGCTTTTACAGCACCCGCATAATACATAACAATGATTGGGTTATTATACTGGTGTGAGTTATTTTCAATATCATAAGTAGCACCAAGGTTTTGAAGTTGCTGGTTTGGAATTGGCTGTGAGATCTTCTGTAGGAGTTGGATGACATCTTGCTGTTTGTTAAGGAGATTCTGGTCAGCTGAAATAAATAAAAATGATTTTGTAATATCAAAAACTAACAACGTTATAAAATTTGTATCACATTCAATATGTAAGTGAATAATTAGCATTCAAAATGTAATAAAGCAAATTAAATAGTTATATTGTTAAGAATTAATGTTTCAGTTATTAAATGTTCATATAATATGAGTTAAAATTTTAAGAAAAAGAAGAGAAAGTAACTTTGAGTATCACAGTTGCTGAAAATTACTTGTATAGCATTCTTCACAAGAATCAGGGTTTTAAATTTCAAAAGCAGTTGTTTCAAATAGTAACTTACCAGCATGTTGTCTGCCACAGGCACCTAAGGCCACCAGAGCCAACAGGACAATTAAACACCTCATTGTGTAATTCAATGATGCGATGCGATGCTGACTGTCTGTTCGACCAAGCTTTTATACCCGAATCCTATCGAAGAAGGGGTTTATCGGCGACCTGTCGACCCACCTCCCTCATGATTTCACAGTCTACACGCGATATCCTTTGCTATTTCGAATGTATTCGACGCATTTAATCGAAGGTTAAATGATGATATATATCATCATGAATAGATTGTGCATCAGGTTGTTCCTTCAAAAATTTAATGCCCTTTTTTCATGATATATATTCAAACATTTGTGAAAATTTTCTCTTTCTACTTTATTAAGATATTACAATTTAAAATGTGTTTATTTTATATTCGTATTTTTTACAAAACTAAAAGTAGAATGCTACTAGAAAAATATAATCGGATTAGAAGTACTAATTAATTATTTTAGTTTTATAATGGTTATACTTATTCTATAATTCTAATTAAAATTTAATAAATACAAAAGAATCTCAAATTAAAAATTTATATTTACAGTAATATACAGTGATTGAAATTATATTAAATTTGAACAAAAAAATACAAATAAAGTGAATTTTATTAAAAATTAACTAAATTAAATTCAGTATATTAAAAATAGTAACTAATAATATACAATTTGAACATTTTCATATTTTTGTATTTTCTTTATTTATATAGTATATATATTTTTGTTACATATATATTTTTTTATATAATATTTTTCACAGAATATTTAACATATACTTAAAAAAATTAAATTATTTATTAAAACATATAATTAATAATAATTGTGCAAAAGTAGGAAGAAAAATAATAAATAGTTTTCCCAATTTTTATTAAACAAACATAAAATTTTTATTAAATAATAAATTATTATTTATAATATTATTTTATAATTAATAAAAAATTATCGAATCAACATTTTTAGCACAGTTGCAAAAAGAGCACAAAATGTTGAGGGTCATCGGTATCTTCACGCGCGGGATAATACAGCAAGATAATATGTCTTGAACTCTCAGGTGACTATATGCGCAAAGGTTATCACTTTGTTTACCTCTTAAATGGTTCGGCTGTATTTTTATATCCCTGGGGGGTACAAAGCAAAAAGTATGCGGAATTATAGCAGCATACAGTTTTCTAAATGTAGTACACAAGCAAGAAGATACCGAAGATACATTTATTCTTGCTTTACTATCGGAAAAAAAATTTATATTTTAATTAGTATACAAAATCTGTAATAATAAAATTAAATGAATTTATTTTTGACTCTATTTTTTTACCTTATTATCCCAAATTATTAAATTGTCTCAAACAGTTTTATAAAATAGAAAAGTTTTGTAATATTTAATGTAACATTCATTGAATTATATTATTTAAGATGTTTCTATAATAACAAATATATTTTTTTTCAGCTATGTGATAATATATAAAGTATTACAAATAATTCTATATGCAAAAAGGAAGGAAAGAAATCTTACAAGTGATAACATAAAAAAGAAAAAGTATATTTTCGTTTTAGATAGTAGGAGCGTAATCAATCGCAATTTTTTTCTTTCATTCCGCATTATCATTTTACTTCTTATTTTATTATGTTGATGCAATAATTTGCTCCCAACTGACCAATAATTTTGAAAAATCTAAAATGAAAATTTTTAAATGAAATATATATATATATATTCTAACACAAATGAAATTGCAAAATTTCATAGACAGATTTTCTACAAAAATGTTTTAATTGAAGATGTTCTTTTGTAGCTTTATGCTGTTAAAATTTGTTAAATATTTTAACACTTGAAACATCAGAATTACTATAAATTGCAATGGTATATTATAGTTTCATTATTTTGTATTGACCTTTTTCTACAATAATTGTGTACAATAGGACAGAAAATATTAATAATACATGAGAATATAAATTTAGCATATTTTTTAGTTTAAGAAGCCAAAAAAATACTTAGAGACCAATCTCAAACACCAAAATATTTGAGCACTATCGATTTCTACGAAATCATATAACAAGTACAGTATATGATTTAAATGTGGGCGCTGCGGATCTCTTAAATTCATTTCACAAATAGGCTTAATTTCTGTTCACCCAATTTCTTGTAACGATTTATTAATTGAAAACAGAATAATCACTTAGATCATTACTTATGATCAAATTAAATTTTTCCTTTCTTTATCCGCTTTTGTACATTAACATGCGCACGTGTACACATATTATATGTGTATACTGTCATTTGAAGTACTGAACGTAACCTTGAAAAGCCCACCCTCGGAGCATAAGTTCAATCGCAGCGGGTGAAGTAACGTTTTTCTTGTATACAGAGATCAAAGGATTCTATTGTGACTTGCAATTGTAGATTATAATCTCTGATAAAATGTCTTCGTGAAAGATCGGAAAATTATCAAGAAGTGACGTTTGGTTATTGGTATGGTAAGGTGCAAATTATAGGTTAGAGAAGAGTTCGATAGTTTCGTTGGAAAACTACCAAAATGTTCTTAAAAAATTAAGCGGTGAATATCGCTGTTATATGCGATAATTATTTTATTAAAGTTAGCATGGTTCAACGTCCAATCGCGCCTAGGCGCAATGTCAGAATTTTATTAATCGGAGATCGTGGAGTCGGCAAAACGTCGTTGATATTATCTTTAGTTAGTGAGGAATACGCGGAAGATGTGCCCTTTAAAGCGGAAGAAATTACTATTCCGGCTGATGTTACACCGGAGCAAGTTCCAACACACATTGTAGATTATTCAGGTATGTAAGAATCATGTTTGTATGTTCTTTTTATAAATATCAATTGATAACTACATTGATACTGTTTCATTTACAACTTTTGCTATACAGCTGCTGAACAAACTGAAGATCAATTAACTGATGAAATTCAAAAAGCACATGTAATTTGTGTTGTATATTCTGTGGTTGATGAAGATACTTTGGACAGAGCAGCTAATTATTGGTTACCATTAATTAGACGATGTTCTTCAAATAATCGTTGTCCAGTTGTCCTTGTGGGAAATAAAATTGATCTTGTTGATTATTCTACCATTGAGGTTCAGTAAATTAAATACCATTTATAATATTTATTTTATTTGTTTACAAAATTTATTTTTATTTATTTTTAGGCTGTATATCCTATAATGAAAGAATTTACTGAAATTGAAAGTTGTATTGAGGTAACAGAAAGTTATGATTACAACAATAGGTGTTAAAGAAGTCATATCAAAATTTTAATTCGTATTATATTTATTCTAGTGTTCTGCCAAGACATTACAAAATGTTTCAGAAACATTTTATTATGCACAAAAGGCTGTTTTACATCCTACCACACCACTCTACAATTATGATACTCAGGAGGTAAAATCTACTATAAAATATATATAAAATATATATAATCTAAAACACTTATAAATAATTTATTAATATAATATAATATGTAGCTTACATCTGAATGTAAAGTTGCACTACAAAGAATTTTCAAAGTAAGTGTATATAATTATACTCTTGAATAAGTACTTTCTATATATATTCCATATTTGTATTGTATCACTTTGTACAGATATGTGATTTAGACAATGATGGTTTACTAAATGATATGGAATTAAATGCATTTCAACAATGGTGCTTTAACACTCCATTACAACCACAAGTTTTGGAAGATGTAAAGGCTGTTTTATCAAAAAATATTCAAGATGGCATTTGTCGAGGATGTGTTACAATGAAAGGTATTTTATATATTGAGTTTTCTCAAAATTCACATAGAAATATATCCTTACTATTTGTAGGTTTTATGTACCTTCAATGCTTATTTATACAACGAGGTAGAAATGAGACTACTTGGGCTGTGTTGAGAAAATTTGGTTATGACAATGAATTACAAATGTCCAAAGAATACATATATCCACCGTTAGTAACTAATTAGTATAAAATATTTTAAATCTTTATTTTGCTTATAATCATATTTATTTTTTATATGTTATATAGATTAAAAGTTCCTGTTGGTTGTACGACTGAATTATCACATAAAGGACAGGAATTTTTAACATTATTATTTATGCATCATGATCAAGATAAGGATGGTGCTCTTTCTCCATCAGAAATGAAATCATTATTTTCACGATGTTGTGCTCCCCCTTGGGAAGAGGAATATAAATATACTGTACCAACTAATGAAAAGGTATACAATTTTTCTATTGTTATTATTTGGTTAGTTTCTTTTATTTAGTTCTATCATTGGTATCTTTTCCTAGGGATGGCTCACATTTCAAGGGTATATGTGTCAATGGGCGCTATTAACTTTTACAAATGTGCGGAAAACATTAGAATATATGGCATATCTAGGTTACAATATATATAATAACGAATGTCAAACAAATGCGATTCTTGTTACTCGTGAAAAAAAGTTAGATTTGGCAAAAAAACAATCGAGCAGGAACGTTTATACTTGTCATGTAATTGGCCCAAAAAGTAGTGGAAAGACAACATTATGTAGAACATTTATTGACCCTAAACTACAGGTATATCCTATATTTCGTAATATTATATTTATTTATTTACGTAACATGTGATATAATTACAGAAATTGACCGATAAAGTAGTGCCGCCGAATTCACATGTTACTGTAAACACAATACATGTATACGGTCAAGAGAAGACAATAATTCTGCGAGATATAAACATACTTAGTGTTCAGGATACTTTAACTCCAGCACAAATTCAATGTGATGTGGCAGCCCTCGTTTATGATGCTAGTAATCCTAAATCATTTGAATTTATTGCACGAATTTATATTGTAAGTTTTTGTATAATCTTACATAAGGGTATCAGAATTGGTTTTCCTATAATTAATAGTTTACAATTAAATTGATTATCTTTTTCAGAAATATTATGCAGATAGTAAGATTCCCGTTCTTATAATAGCAAATAAGAGTGATCTTTCTGAAGTGAAGCAAGATTACTTACTACAACCAGTAACTTTTTGCAATAAGTACAAACTGATGCCACCACAACCTTATAGCATCTCCCGTACAGTACGACGTGAAATTTTTGTTAAACTAGCAACAATGGCAGCTTTCCCGTAAGTTCAGTTCTTTAAAACACTGATTATTAAGAGGAAATATTTTTTACAAAAACGCTCCTAAAAAGTTGTTATTTTAAGAAGAATTTACATTAAGAACAAATCTCGTTTACTTAAATTTATTATGAAAAGAAATATTGTAGAATTATTATGCATTTGTTTGATGCATTTGATTTCTATCATATCAGATGCTTTTTACTTAATATTCCTTACAATTCTTAAGAAAAATAGAATAGCATTCAAACTGAATTATTATTAAACACTAACAAAAAGATTTCATGTTTAGCCGCTTTCAAGGAGCATGGGTATTATTTTACAGAGACAGGTTGGTCTGAATTTTTGCAACACTGTAAGCATTGTAAGCTTGAGCAAATCGTGAATCACATTTTTTTACTTATATGTCTATGCACATATACACAAACATATTTTCGGTAAATGTGCTAGGCGATTTGCTCATATTAAAGGATGTCGCATGATTAAGACTATCATAACAAGGTCTTAAATCTTTTCAGTCCTTTGAGGCGTATGGTCCACGTGTTGCTTGTCAAACCCTCACCCACTCAGTGGTGGAATTCTTTTAAAAGGTTTTTGTTTGTATTATAAGTTTCTGTTAATTTCACGGAGTGCTCACGACTTACAATACCAATGATGATACCAATATTTTCTTTGCATGAGCATGAGACATGATTGATCTTCGTATCTTGTTTTGATTTTGTTTAGTAGACTTCAAATTTACTTTCTCAATAGTGTGTGTATTCAATTTCGACAAAATTCAATTGTACAGAGTTAGCAATTTTTCTTATTATAGGATAATATCTTCTGTTTACATTGTAAATTAATACATATATATGAATCTTTTCCTATTGGAGAATTCATAGAATTTTGTATGATCCTATGATAAATACTTCTTGATATTTCAGACATATAAATCAGTTTGGACTAATACAAGGAGATTCGATCGTCTGGTGGAAGGCTGGTCTTGGAATTGCAGTTGCTACTGTCGCTGGTTTTGTGGTGATGCGCGTCTTAAATACAGAGAAAAGATAGTCTACCATATTCTTTTTCTTGCACATTTAACTGCCTCTTTTGGTCGAATATAAAACCGTCTTTGAAAAACGCGTTAAATTAATAAATAATGTTCTTAAATCATTAATATCTTATATATCCTTAATTACTTCATAACAAATATTAGAAGTTTCTATTTATAATTTCTAATCTTTTTCCTTTAACATATCACACTATTTAACTGATTTTGTTGTTTGTGTAGATTTTGACATTTTATCCATGTATCATGGAAAATTTTTCATTTCTCCAAATCTTTGTTTCTCGAAGTACACTCAAAAAATTCTTGTATTTCAAAAATACATAATTCCTGATTATCTGTATACTTGTTTTTAGAGTCTATTTTAGCAAAAGATATCTGTCTAGTGTTGCCAACAAGTGCACTTCCAATTGCTTAACCCTTGTATAAATTAAATATTCTATTAGTCTTCCTATTAATTTACAAAAGAAAAAAAATGTATAAACAACCTATAAAATTGGTACTTACTATAATAGAACCAGCAGAAACTTCTGTTGCTGTACTAGCAGCAGATCGGAAAGCTAAGGATTGATTGTTGCTATTTATCCATGGTTGAGATGGTAAAGTTTTTGCCTTAAATCTACATGGATATATATCATTTAAATTTAAAAAATAAACATTTTCTCATATAATTATATATCATTATAGACTATGTAAAATTAGTCTTATATTACATGTCTTTTCATTTTTTTAAAACCATTGCTTTTTCGAATTTAGAGATGTGGGAAAGTTTCAATTAAAATGAACAAAAAATATGTAATTAGAAGTCCATTTATTTTACTTGTATACACATATATTGGTTAAATCATATCAATAATAATTAATATGGTTGTTTTATTAAGTTTATCATAAATGTGATCTAAATTTTTTAAGATCTACAATATAATCAGTTTACATAATGTTGATTTTCTATATTCCTAATACTCATATGCCTTTGGAATATTTAAACTAAATCTAAAATGAAAAAGAGATAAGTTTAGAGGAAAAATAATTATCTCATTCAATATTTATATAATAATTTAAAACATACTCTGAGATGCCTTGCATTGACGGAGAGCTTCATTGAACCCTTCACATAACGTAAGATCAGATTGATTTTCAGCACATTCCAAGAACTGTTTGATTTCCCATGAACAAGCACCACCAGCAGGTCTAGTAGCTGGTATATCTTGTGCATGAGCAGATGCTGCGGCACTTGCAGGTGCAACAGCAGTTTCATTAGAGCCTCCACTGAAAAGACCAGTCACGGCATGGCCAATTGTATGACCAACAGCAGAACCAATTGCTACACCTCCAGCAGTAGCAGCCATTTGTCCCATAAGGGACGGTTGTTGAGGTTGAGCTACCATTGGTGTTGAAGCAGGAGCATGTGCTTGGACAGGTGCGGCCCGGGCTGGAGCTGGAGCGGGTGCTACAGCTCGCCTAACCCTAAAATAAAAATAAAATTATTTTCATTTTATGACTACATATTTTTAGAGAAAAAAACTACACAATTTGATGATAGCTTGCATGACATTACATTCGGCAAGTCACTGGATATTTCTTTGGAGAAAATTTCTCACTTTTTTTTCAAAATTATACGTACAATCTTATTTAAAAGAAAAATACTTACGTCCTTGGTGGAGGATTCGCAGTACGTCCACGTCGTGGCATGTTTTACGCTTTTGCACAATAAATTTCGTATAACACTATAAACGTCCGTACTCTTAAGAGCTTGATCTGATACTGCAATGAAATCTTTAATCTTTTATACGTTACGCAAGTTAATTGAACTGCGCAGACTCAGAAATAGTCATCGACCGTTCCAGAAATATAACAGGAAGTGCAATCTCACGAAAGAGACAACATCAGCTTATATCGAAATTAATAAAAAAGAAGAATAGTATGTTTAAAAGACCTTTTATAAAGGATTTCGTGTGATTATTATATTTATTGTATATAGAAAAATTATTGTACTATTCACTACAAATTAATTTGTCGTACATAATATACAAATTGATATTATGTTCAAACCATAATGTTGGTTGCAATGCTAAATTTATATATATGTATATACATCATTAGATAGACTGTTCACAGCATTCATACATTGTATACGCATTAAAATTTAGAATGTTAATTTGAAAAATATAATTTTTATATTAGATAAGGCACAAATTACTTTTTTAAAAAAATATTAAATATGTTTATTGAAAAATAGAAGCTCTTATGAATTTTTATGTAATATATCACAATTTTGTACAGTATTGCATGACTTTATGCAAAATGTTCTGTTTATAGTTCTTCGTTAAATGAATGTACATATATATAATTGTGTATATATATTCATATCCCTATTTGCTTCTCTAAAAAATATAAATTATTTATTTCCGGAAATATAAAAATCAAATATTATGTAACTTACATAACGAATATTTTCTGCGCACAGTAGAGAAACCTTTTATGTTGGGTTGGTGGAACTGTAAATGATAACGCTTTACCTCCTCTTCCACTTCTTTGATTATTTTTTCTTCTTTCAGAAATTATAATTTTTTTATCAATTTATTCGAAATATATTATTCATTTTTTGATTAGTTTAACTAAATAATAAAAATTATTTTAACATAATTGTAAATACTATGTACAGACTATTAAAACTGGTCACCATTACTTTTACTATATTCTGAAGTATGCAGAAAAAATTAAATGCCTATACGTAAATCATAATTTAACAAGTTGCAGCTGTAAAACTTGTTAAATATATATAATATGTACATATATTTATATATTCTTTCGTTTATTTTCATTTCAATCGTTTGAAACTGCTTGTCAAAGCAATTGAACTCCGCTAGAATTCTGCTAGAGTGCGCTTACTGTACTCATTGTACACAAAATCGAAAATGCAACAAAGTAATGTTTATCTTTGTAGTAATTATTACGTTAGTGCCGTAAATTCATGTTATTGTGTATCCACTTATTTCTAATTATTTCTATTTAATTTTTTATCTAAGTTTCTATTAACAAGTTGTATTTTTTGTAAAATGTTAACTAATTTAACAAAATGAGATTCATATATTGTGCTTGGGATATGAATTACGAATCAAATTAACTTTTATAATTGTTTCTTTTAATTCGTTACATAATTTTTAATACACTATATTTCTTAACAATTTTATATTCAAAAATGTTTAAATAGATTAATTATCCACGATATTTGTAAAAAGATAATACTTGTATATATTATAATTATTGCATTATCAAATAATTGAACCTATATTTAGTTTTAAAAAGATTCATCTCATTTTTATGTTTAGAATAAAATTATTATTACAGGAAATATGTGTTCCAATTATAATACTCTTTTTACAGGCATCTTTTTAACTCAAGTTGATATTTGAATCGAGATGTAAGTGTAATTTCAATTGCAATAAAAAAAAAAGGAAAAGAGGAAAGAATTTTAAAAACTGAAACATGGTAAATATATTTTATTTGCTAATTTTTTATTTTTTTCTGACATTAATATGATTTTATATCATGAAAAAATGTACACGATAATATATGCAGATATACTTAATCTCAAACGTCTAATTCAAGGTACATCTAAAATTGTTTTCACTACAAAAATGATCAATTTTGTACATAGTCTTCTTGGGAGTGCCAAAATATTCAACAAACGCAGTGAATCTTATCGCTATGCAAACGAAGAGAAGAGGGAAAAGACGAAAGGAAGACACTGAAAATTTCAGAGAAAGGAACTGGGTACTTTAAATGCGGGGGAGGAGTTTCGAACGGACCGCGACGATCTGACTAGTTTCTGCGTCGTTTCTTCTGTCTCTCGTGCAGTGTTATCGGCTTGTTATCGTCGTGCAACACGTGTCAATATAGGCGCGCGTTGGCCGCAACCGCTGGGTGCATTCACCGACACATGCGCACATCAGCTGAACGAAACTCTTCATAAACCGGCGGGAACACGTTACTCATGACTCAGTGTACACGATGCCACGGCTTGGCCGCGATAGACCACGCACTACGTATATACGCCCTTCCCTTTCTTCGTTTTTCCACGGTGCTACTGCAACCGTTTTCGTCGTCGCATTTTCTTGACACACAGATCATAGACATAACCTTTCTTTCTTATTCGGGGTATGGTACCCGGTGCAGTGTTCTAACAAAGAAGCGCGACCGATGCATCAATTCAGCAACATACTTCCCCATCGAGACAAGCGTCCCTTTTCGATCAAGAAACCGGAGGAACGACCAAAAAACATAGAATATTTTTGAAAAGGAATGACTATTCGTTTGACCGTAGAAAATCAACAGAGCATTGACGAGGATTGTCCGTCCGACGAGCGCGGTGAGTGATTGTTTTTGTTTTGATTGATGTGAAACACGTGCGTGGCGACAAGTGTCACAGTAGTTCGTAAGCAAGCATCTTATTATAACGATAGTGGCGAGTTTCTTATATGGCTAGATGCATCTTAAGAATTACTTGTAAGAAACTGATGTAATATCTGATGGTGACGATGAAATATCAAGCGCGTCTAATACCACAACGATAACAAGAATGACTGGTGACAAACATTAGCTCCGTGATCCGCAATTCGCGCGATAGGAAGAGAGAGAGGGAGAATGGAGTTAAATAAAGAGTCGATCAGAAGAAAATAGACGCTGATTCGTTTGAGCGATATCGAATTTAAATTGCACGTCGTTTGATACGTTTGTGTCACGTGAGCCGATGGTCCGATGCTGGTAAATAAGATTATAATTGCATCTTGTCTATAGAAATGTTTACGAACCATATTTTTTTCCGATCTCTTTTCCCACAGGTTTCTTGTCTCTTATCTCTTGTTTCCTTTTCCTTGAAATTTCTTTGACGCAGCAATACCCCTGCGTCGTAACGGCCCAAATTATTCTTCCCGGTAACGCAGACGCGTGGCAATCTCGTCGCGGAATTGCGCACTTCTTTCATGGCGCTGTGCCAATTTCAAAGTTCAGGTACTCGAGATCACGGCGCGCATACAGGGTGTTTCTTTATTAACGATATTTGCTTTATGTGTAATAGATTTAATCGAGAGAAACAAAAACCCGCAACCTGTTCAGTCTTACTTGTTCAATGACATATTATTAATTGAACGCTTTGATAAAACAGAATAGTAGTTGTAAAGAAGATTGAAGAAGGTTATGCATTTGTATGAACTCCCTTTATCTTCTGCGCTTAATAAAAAGATACCACGTATGATACAAAGAATCTTAGAACGAAATATACACACTGCGTTAGAAACTTTACCTTTCTTCTGTCTTTTACACGTGAAATTTTTTAAACTCTCAATGTGCTGATAATTTAAACCATCGTCTTCCAAAATTATTGCAGTGTCTTGACAGTATCGCAGTCTAATATCACTGGTCATTGTTGTATATTTAAAAGAAAACGACTGTGTTAGATTACCTGTAAACAGAAGATCCAATGTTTACAAAATTGGATAATTAACTTATGGGCATAGTGATTGAAAAATTATGGATAGTTGATCCATATCGTAAGTCAGATAAAAACTAGGTAAGAAACAATACCGTTCACATAGACTCCACTTTATTAGCTTGTGGTTAAATTAAGTACTTCATTCGATAGAATAATATTATCGTTTTCATCGCAGCTCACTAACCCACGCTGATGATGTCCGTGTCGGAGATGCAATTGATTCATGCACGCACACATCGAACGAACAGGAAACCATTATGAATAATTAATCAATGGACGTGTTACGTATCGATCAAGCACCGAGTTCCGTCTTTTCGAGTCATATTCGCGCGGAAATTCGCTCGATGCCCAAGCGTAAATATAAACCGAACTGGAAAATCCATCGAGTCAGCGAAAGTACTACAGATTCAAAGAATACGTCTGTATATTATGAAGTACTTGTGCTCGATTCACAGAACGACTGCTTGCATTTTTCTCTATTTTTTGTTTTATTCGAATTAATTTTGGAAGATGTATCTAAATTTTAAAACCAATTTCAATTTACGAATGTTAGAATCAATGTTCTTAAATAGATACACGAAGATGCTACTGGTAGCGATTCTGCTATACACTTCTAGTGTCTGTGTAGCTAAAAATTCCTATACACAGAACTTATCTTGTCTCAGGGTCAAGCGTCAATGTGGATAATATACGTTACATGCGGGATGATTTTTTGGCGATCGTTATCGATGCTAATAAGAAGCGTACCTAACGTACACAGATCATGATTATTCCATCGATGCACGATATACATTCAGAAATTCATCAATTTCTCCGATAAGCTTATTGAGAAAATATTTTTATTCTTTCTTAAAAGAACAGAGATACAGATGGTCATGAGCTGATTAATCACCTCTGGCGCGTTTCCTGGTTCGACGATATGTTTTCGTCAGTTTTGTTAATACTTATTTTGTCAGGCAGTCTTTGATGCGTAAAAATGATTCATCATTAACGAACCTGATAAGATAGCGATCTCACGTTACTTTTGTCGATCGAAATAATTTGTCCTTGGTTGTCAATTAATCATGCATCTAAATCTCACTCGACCTTTTCACTCATTTCTATATAAATGTTACACTCTCTGATTGCCTCTATAAAGTACGTTTTATTCTTGTAGTATGCCCAACAATGAAAGTAACGCGAAAAGTTCGTAGCGCTATCGTTTTCACGCTATCTGTTTATAAAAGAGAAATGCTTGCTGATTTCACTAACATATTTTTCTCTTGGCAGAAATATTTCATTATGATTCATCGTCAACTCCGATTTTCATGAATGCTAACCTCCAGTAAATTCTTTAGGGCGAATGGCCTTTAAACTTGAGTTGGGGTTCGTTGGCCCGAATCCAGGGACACAACGAAGTATACGTAAAGGGATACACGAGAAGCTCGTGGAATCAGCGCGGAAAACGAAGTCGAGGAAGTGGCATAGATACAGTACACACGCACGCGAAAAAGTTTCAGACGATTCAATTTACGAATGCTACTCTCTCGTATTCGGATTCGGTTATCAAACGAGTAACGTATCATTCGTTTGTTACTGCGCAACGCTTCGATATCATTGGTTCTAAAAACATAAAAAAAAAATGTAATTGTAATTAATTCGTGGAACACAATGATGTGAATTTTTAAGAATTTGACGTACATTCGATAAATTACGAAGAGTAGGTTAGGGGCAGCATACGTTAGAACATGTATACCATACTGATTCCTTCATACTAATCTCACAGAACCAACACGTAGAAGTCGATAAAATATTCGTGGTTCTCAATGATACTTGTTTCTTGGGAAACCTAAAAAAGTAAATAGCGTGCAATGTTGTTCCTTTTTTTAATGTACGAGTAGTTCGATAAAAATTAGACACCTTGTATATGGTCGAAGGCTTCTGTTTATATACGAACGAAGCACAGTAGTGAGCCTTGCACGTGAGAGAGTCAAATCGAGGACGAAGACGATTGAAATGAGGAAAAGTAACGGGGCGAATAACGGGTTGAATTTAACGCATCTTGCCGTTACGAGCACGTTTGTAAGGCTAGTTGTTAGGTCACAGTTGATCGTGTAACTTGTGATTAAATGCATGTCCTATCTCCATTTTGTGAAAGGATGCATAGCTTGCATGAAATTATATCAAAGATGAACATTTATCTAGGCGATAATATCTTTGTTTCTATTTAATGACATTTAAAATTTATAAACTTTATTTTAGAAGCGAGTTTGCCGCTGTTTAAACTCGTTACCGATAGCACTGACGTAATACGTCTCTTAAAGAATCTTAAACATGTTTGTGTCAGCGAAATGAAGTAGTCATCAAGTTTCCAGGTATATTGGTACTTTATTCCAGGAAATTTGTGACACTAGCGTCATCCGTGTGAATAAGTTGATGCAATTGGGTTTCCGCTATTCCATTATCCACTGCGTTTGAACTGGGTCACAGTTTTATTATATTCAGTAATTATTTTTTTTTTTAAATATAACTGCATCATAAATTGGAAGGTTATTGATGAATCTAACCTAAAATGATAAAGAATTACTGTAATACTTGAAAAGATTATAGGTTAGTACACTCGAATATCAAAAAATAAAAAGATATGAAAATTTGAAAATCTAAAAATAAAAGATTTGAATAAAAATTAAAAGATATTAACATTTTCTGTATATATTATTAGTAGATGGATCGTATCAATCGTTCGAAAATTAATCAACGAAGTGCGGCCGCTTGCCCGCCAAACTTTGGAACGTTCGACCGCGCAAGTGCAACTACGGTGGGAGAATATAACTACCTTCGTGGGGGTTTAACGTGGTGGGGAACTTCGAAGGAGCAAGTTATACGCGAAGCAGCTAGGCTACCAGCGCGTATATACCGGTACTATTGGCATGTTCCGGCAAACACGCGCTTCGAAGTCTTACGAGCATTACGTTCACTGGTTAAACTTCTAATGTGTCTCATTCGCGATGATTCCGTCTGATTTGCGAGTGTACCGCTAGAGTACGCGATCAGCCAAATGACTTACATAAGTTGCGCGGTAACGTTAATTACTTTGAGTAAATTGCATGCACCTTATTTGATTATACCGTGAGTATTATTTCAAGAGATCCAAATTGGTGACAGCCTTTTATAACTCCGTGAATACGATCAGCGAAAGTTACTTTTACTGAAGCTCGGCACTCTTTCGTTTCTTCTCACGAATACGAAATAGAGTTGCCGGTTCTTGGCTCGCTCGATTGGCAGTTATGCGTTCTATTTCCCGTTTAAGTCGATGACATAAACCGCGAACAGTGCTGGATAATAATTAAACACCGAGTTCATTGAGCGTTCATTTCTCTAGGAATAATTTGACAAAAACGAACTTTAACAGATAAAGTGTGTCATACATGAAATACGAACTTAACGACAAACGTGGCGGTGACCCAGAAACAATTTGAAGTGGTAACATCGGAGTAGACAAATCTCGCAACGGTGCCAAGAAAAAAATAAAGTGGGGGATCAAGGAATGCGAACGTTATTCTTTCAGATTGCTGTGTAACAACGAGTCATGCTCAAATTAAGATTATGAAATTTGCACCATAGAACAAAACTTTTATTTAAACTATGTGAACGTAAAAAGTTGTTTTGTGTTCGACAACGAATTATATTCGATTTACAAATTTTTATCGTTTCGTTTAAAGCAAACGAAGAAAAAAAGAAATTGTAAAACAAATTTTGAACGACATTTCATTCGAAAAATACGAAGAGAGCTAAAAAAGGTCAAATGTGGCCGCGATCGTTGCCGGTAATAACAGATGAGGATTGTTCGAAATATTCAATGAAGTTTCGTTTCTACGATTCTTCTGGTTCGTGCTTAA